AGATGAAATCTAGAATAAGCAGCAAGAAACCAAGGGAACACGTACTGTATGGGAACAGGGATACGCCCAAGCAAACGGAGGCATGTGACAACAGTGATGACCCTGCATTGACAAAATCCAAGACCGACAATGCAAGACCAACGCGGCTTAGACCATAGATGAATAGAGTAGACTCGCAACGTGCAAAGGATTGCAAGGACAGCAAGAAGCTCATGAAGATAGAGTCCAACGCAAACAGCAAAAGCTCCATGTGGCTCAGGCCATAGATGAGTGACTCGGATCCAATACAAGCAAGGCCACGCAAGGACATGAAGAAATCTGGCCATGCAAAGTCCAAAGTCAACAGAAACAAACCAGGGCGTTGGATGCCAAAAACCGATGGGCAGAAACCCATGCGCAGGAAGGATCTCGGTGATAGAAGCGGCTCCAAGGAGATATGATCCAAGATTGACCTCAGTCAATGTGCTTTGTGGGGTTAGCTGGGTAAGCATTGAGGTTTAGACATGTTGAAACATCTTGAAACATGTTGAACTAAGGATTTAGTGAGAGCAAACATTGCCAGTGGCTTTTTTTATAACAAAATAAGATAAAATAAGGAAGCTTCTTGCCTTTCCACTGCAGTTTCCACTGCATTTCCCTGCGGCCCCATGGCTGTGTTGCTCTGAGTCTCCAAACGACAGGCTTCCAGGTCTGGTCATGCCATAGGCTGACAGCGAGAACCCGCCCCGTGCAAAGCTGCGCAAGAACAACGGCGACCTGAAGCCATGGTGCCATTTCAAAGGTGTGCCATGGACAAAAACCGTTTCCTTTCATGGTATTCCATGGTCAATGATGCTGAATGATGCTGAATGATGCTGAATGATGCTGAATGACAATGATGGTCAGTGATGGTCAGTGATGGTCCAAGGGGGACATATTGAAACTTCAAATGATGGTCCAAAACCTGGGATTCTGATGGGCATCCGCACTCCAAATGCACAGAGTCCGACACTGGCAACGAGAAGCCCATGGCGGTCAATCCAAACAATGAAGGCACCAAACCCAGACCTCAGATCGATGGTTGGTGGTTGATGTTTGAAAGATGTTGCAACGAAACAAAGAAATACATAATATCTGGTTAATATCTGGCTAGAAGTGTTTAATATTGGTTAATATCTGGCAGATCTGGTTTTTACAAAGTTCTATAAATCACAAAAAAGGCCCCTTGGCAAGTGCTAGACTGCATGGCAAGTGCACTCCTACATGTTTTGACGTCAAAACATGGCGCCTTTTCAAGGCCCCGACGTACGAGAGACTTCGATGGCAGCAATAAGTCCAGGGATGTGGAGTCCAGAGTTGAGAGAGGCGACTCTAATTTGGCCTCGCTTGAGGAATGGGAGCAATGTTTGGTTATATAATAATGGTTAAGAGTGGTTAGTGCCATAGAATAATGGTCAATACCATTTGATAGCCATTTGTTATTATGTAATGTTGTGGAATGTTGCGGTTAGTTACCATGAACAACTTTGAACGACTCTGAAGAATTGATACAATATTGACAATAAACCCCATCCCACATGTTAAAACCATGTGCGAAAACCTGGATGTGAAATCAAACATGGACACATAGGATGTCATCCATCAATATCCATCATCCATTGGCTCAAAATCTTAGTCTGCAGCATGCTGGGCTTCCCGACCATACCGTATACTGACAGCAAGAAATCAGGACATATGGGGCTTCCTTAGGCGATGACAATAGGCGACCCTCAAATCTTCGACTCAGAACTGTGCCATCAAATGATGTCTTGGTGTCTCTAGTATGTTGCTCACAGAGATGCAAACCAATGTATGTATTTTGATATCTATCCGTATATACATTTATACATATATGTATACATATAAATATAGATATGCATTGTAAGTATATACATTCTCTTGTCATTCTGATCTACTTTGATTCTGCCAGCCCTTTTTGTGTCACGTTCCTCCTGGCTCTACTGCATATTGAGTGTCTCAAGGGCACTGTCAGCTCGGGGTTAATGAAATCTGACACCGGAGGAGAGGATTCCAATCGCGACCTACAGCTGCCAAAATGTGCCAAGGCTGCCGTCAGGGAGATACGGTGCAGTCAGCAACGCATTGGGATTCTGACAAGCCAAACACGGACATCAGGAGCTCGAAGCGCACAAAGCTGTGCAAAAACTCAGTCAAAGCAACATGGCCAACAAACCGTGGACTACAAGGGTTTTGACTTGGCTAAAAACAAGGATGGATCCCCCTACGAAGTAGACAAACTACAGCTCCTTGTTTTGGTTGTCCAACCACCCGTTTGGTCACAGCCATGCCCACAACAAACAGCTTCTATCAGCTTCCAAGATATCCGGCAGTTCCAAAAAAATATCCCATGTGTCATCATAGTTCATGATATTTTATCCTATTTCATGATATTTCATCAATATGTCCATATATCCCCACATATCATCTATGTCCCATGCCATGCCATTTGGTCTCAGGACTCAGAAAATAAAGTGAAGCAAGTGAAGCAAGTGAACCAAGCGGCCAGGGAAGATCCCAAGTGGACAAGATCCAAGGCTGAAAGCAATGAGCCCAACTGAGCCACTCCATAGACCAACGAGACCAGGCCTGGAGCTGAATCATGATCGATATCATTGGATTACTGTCATGTCAAGTCATGGAGTGGTCAATGATTTTTGAACTCCCAATTTGGGTGAACCATAGGATATACTGGGACAAAATAACATAAAAACGTCTCACAATGTAAGTAGCTCCAGCATTTCTCCACGACGTCACAATGCGTGGCCAATTCACCCGTCAGTCTTTAGCGCAGTTGGTACGACCCCCGATGACTGAGACTCAACTGAGGCGAACTCGCCGGTTCCAAAAACGTCAAGCTGTTGTGACCATTAGAATTACCCTCTGGTAATTTAACATAGCTATTGAAAATGGCCATCCATTAAAAATGGTGATTTTCCATAGCTATGTTAGTTTACCAGAGGGTAGCCGTCCACATCCAATGTGTTCCGTTGGCACCTGGTTGTACGAGACCATGAGGCAACGAAGAAAGGTCTAGTTGGATGCAGTCCGATGGAAATGGCGACAAGGCCAAACCTCATCAGTGGCGTCATCTTCGATGCACAAACCGCATGGTCGTTTGGAGACCCAAATGGGAAGCATATGGAAGCATGGAAGCATGCTGGATGCTTGATTATGATTGATTATGTGGGAACATGTGGGAACCAACTCATGCTACGTCAAACTGATGTTTTGCCTTTTGGTTTCCTACGGGTCCGAAAAATGGGTCCTACGGGCCTTGCAAATTGCAGGTGCTGATACTCCAAGAAACACGACAGGCCATAGGCGAAGAGCGATGGACCCAAACGCGCAAAGCTTTGCCTCGGTGCTTCAAAGATGTTCAAAGATGTTCAAATGATTCGCCAAACCCCTCTCTTCTTTCAGGCCAAGATAAGATAAGGCGATCGATATATTGTCATGTTTCAGTGCAATTCATTGCACTCTTTCCAGCATTGAACATTCTCAGCTCTCCGATAGAAGTTGAGCTGTGTATAGGTGTTTCAAGTCACCCAAGTGTTGGAAATGGACAGCTGACGTCTGTTTCTGGTCACCGCGCGATTACGCGCCGCCTCTAGGTAAGTGATGCACAGGAGAGGTGTCATCTTTGGACCAAGGAGGAAGACCTTTTTACGCTTGACATAGCCATAGCTTGACAGATTCTCCCACTCTGGGCCAATGGGTCAGGTTTTCCTCCAATGTTTCTCCATGGGTCTATGCAGTCGATGCAGGAGCAAGTGTGGCCTCCAAGTTGTTGACATATTTTGTGGTTGAAAGATGCTGAAACAGCCAGCGAGAGCACCACAAACTAGCCCCCATGTCTCTGGCGCCCGGGTGAGCATTATCCGATGGTCCCCCCTGGAAATCGTGAAAAGAGAGTCATATTAGGTGTTACATGCTTATACATTTCTTATTTTGGGATGGCATTACATCACACCTATGTCATAGATGCCTGTGTCGTTCTCCACTCTGTTGCGTCTTCACTTTCCTTGCAAACATAAGCACATCATGATACCAAGCTAAATAATTAATCTAAATTCAACCTAAGAAGCAGTATGTTCCTTGAAGTGGCTATAGTAAAGTGGCTAAAGCTGGAGAAGGGTTTGAAACTGACTCACAGGTAACTCATAAATCCTTTGCCTCGTTTGCCTTGTAGGATTGGACTCCGCTCCCCGGTGATTGGACTTTGCTGCGAGTTCAGCACCGGGAATCGGCCACACTGCCGGCTTTGAGTACGGGAATTGCTCGGTCAACTCCAAAGGACAACAAAAAAAGGAACATATAATTCATATATATATATATTCATATAATATGTCCCAAAAGAAAGTAAGCGGTCTTCTTACAATTCCAGGAGTCTGCCTTTCTCAGCATAAAGGCATATAAAAGCTAGACACAATGCTCCACATATTTTCAAGACGCGGGTTGGTCGATTTCATAACCTTTCGATGTCACCACGATGCAGCGCAATGGCGCAATGGGGCCGGGTGGGGCCCGGCGGGCTGGGGGCCGGTGGCCGGTTGTTTTCGACGTCGGTGACATGGTGATGCCAACAATGTGTCGAAGAGTGACACGAGGCAGAAAGCGACCGCAATCTTTCGAACTGGACTGGATGCAACCGGATGCAACTGGTAAGTGTTACTACATTCTTGTTTTCACATGTTTTCACATGTATTCACGGATGGCAGGATATGGAAATGAGTCCTCTTGATTCAGATCGACAATCTTCATGGTTTCTGGCCTTTGACAAAGGCCAAGATCAACCTCTCACATCCTGACTTGATGCGGGTCGTCTTCTGCTTCAATCAAAGCAGTTTTTTTATAAGTCATTCCATCTTGGAATCTTGGAGCATTGAATTTTCAGGGCTTCCTGGTGTGTAACTTCGAGTCACCCACTCGGCATTTTTTTTCGTGACTTTCTGAAACCATGACCCACGGAAGCTCGTCAGCGATTTCACTATGGTGAAACCAGACCTACGGTGCACCGGACAGCACTGGACCAAGCAACGCTCTTGAACCTGCGATCAGCTTCGAAGGATGCGAAGCGGAATGCTTGGAGGCTAGATCTTGAGGATTTTCATGGATTTTCTGGTAATCATCGATTGGATGTTCTTGGATGTTCTTGGTCTTGGGATTCGATTCCTGGGGTACTGCACAAGCAAGTTGGGCTGGCAGTGAACTCAGATGCAAAATCCGTGACCGTGACATCTCCAGCAAAACACTACACAGATGCGAAAGATCCCACCTCAACCTCCGGCATGTTGCATGCATCGCTGCCAAGATGATTCCGACTTGAAGGGATGAAATGCCACCTGCGCTGGTGGAAAAAGCATGCCCTTAACATCCCTTAACGCTCTGAAAGGATTTATATGATATTTATGCCTTAGACCACAATTACCACAATAGAATAAACATGAATAAACCTCACGGTTGCAAACCACTACCAGAAACACCAGAAACATCAGAAACATCAAGAAACTACACATTGATTGACACATGGGTTGTGTCAAAGGAACTCATCCACCAGTGATGCCGCTTGGCACCCCTTTGGCCACAGAATGCCAGCAACTTCGGCGTTCGCATGGTGACATGGGGTGTGACAAATGTTTTTTTCAACATCATAACATTATGTCAGAACATCTTGCAGACCATCTTGCTGTCTTTGTAACCGGATCCTTGAAATAATCCTGGCCTTGTGCGGATTTTCACAGCTGTCCCAGTCTTCCTGGCGTCTGGCGACAAGATAATACAAGATACGCATCCCGGCCAGGTTTCATGTTGCCAGGATATCAGTGCCGTGCCGTGCGAATTGCGATCTCCTCTGGATCACAATGTTGTTCCTCCAACAGGCCGTACTTGTTGACCCGCGAAATGGTTTCCTCGTTCGCTCTACACAGAAACCATAACCACTTAAAGTAATATCTGATCATCAATTTTCATGAATTTTCAGACCGCGATGAAGGAAACAGTCGAGAACTGATCTACATCAACTTTAAGTCATGGCATGTCATGGCCAATAGAAGCCTGGGATTTCGGAGGCACAACCCTAGAAGCTTCTGGAAACATCAGTGTCCACCAGCCCACAGCCGAACACCTGTCAGCTCCTTGTACCAGAGTTGATTTTTGGACGATGCAACATGGGGCAACAAAATTGCATGTCCATGTCCAATTTTTATGTCCATGTCTGTCGTGTGGAAACAAACTTCTGCAGAAAAAAACAAAACACCATCTGCCCATATGCTTTAGCCCTCACTCCTATTTTGAACCTCCTGGTTTGCACCAGCCTTGTTTTTTGCACCGTTTTCTGAGGGCTTTTGAAAAGATCTAAACCACTGGGCACCGGTCGTTGGCTCGGCGCTTCAAGCATTGGTCAACCCACAAGTCTTCGCCCCAATGGCCTGTCAGGCAAAGACCCAGGCGACCCCGCAGAGAAAAACCATGGAATTTTCTGTAGAAATATGATACACATGTGCAAAAAAAACACGATAAATGAGATGTTTTGTCATTTAGGAAGTTGGCAACTAATCTTATGTAATACAATATACTATCTATATGTTACAATATATATATATACATATATATTTAGTAGATACTGCAATGGTACATGTAGGATGTCATCTTCAGGATCAACGTGAAGCAGTTGTCCTCAGGTTTTCATGCAGTCCAGTTGCAATCTCCGCTGCACAGCTTTCTGAAATAGAAATAACCTGGAACAGCTAAACAGGCAGGTTGACACCGCAGCCCATTTCAGATCCAGCCCAAGAATTGACGTGTTGGCCCATGCCAAGCAGCAGTCTTTGAAGTGCCCCTGCAGAGCTAAGATGGCATTTTGGGAGAATACTTCCAACGGCCCATGCATGCCAAACTTGCAGTTGTTGAAGTAGACCTCACCAGTCCATCTTTCAGCAAGCAGAATGCAAGCAGAATGCAAGCAGAATTCCACAAGATTACACAAGGCTATGTCCCTGTTGTCCCCGTTGTCCCCCCTGCTCAGCATCCTGTAGGGACTTCTTAAAGCACCAGGCAGGCTTTGCACCAACAGATAGCAAGAGCCGTGCTCGAACCGATTGAGTTAGGCACATACGCAGCGGTGAGACTATGATGACCATATTCAGTCTACCATAGTCTATATGCATCTACTGCATCTACCCTTGGTGTCGGCATCGGAACATTTTTCCAACCTTTCCCAGTCGATACGTCACCATCACCATCCTCAGCCCTGTTCGACAAAGGGACGCCCTCACCAGAGGGACTGGATGCCCTGTCTTCGTACTCTTGGAGAAGCCCAGGCAAACGATGATAAAAGAAGACAGTATCTGCATCAGCCTGGCTGCTTAGATCTGCTTAGTTGCTGTGACTATACACCTGGAAGGGTTCTCTGCTTTCTCCCCAAACGATATAAATTGCACGTGCTTTTTGAACGCTTTTGGAAACAGTGGAGCTGATCAGGGAATGCTTGGTGAAGCATGTCTTCTTGGTGAAACATCAAGAAAGTCGCAACAGGAAGCCGCCTTGACCAGCCAGTTGTAATTCATGTAGTCCTTCAGAGAAGTTATGAGGTGACAGATGATGCCACTCACAGTTCAGACAGTGCCATGGAACAGGTGGCAGATCCACAGCATCCACCATGAGCAGTGTCACTGGCACCCAACCCAACCCTCCAATCTATGGTAGCCATCTCAACAAAAATAATGATCTCAAGGACACCAAGGACATCCACAGCAACATCAGCAACGACTGCAACAAGTCAATTCCTGCCACGGCGACAGGTCCTTCCGTGTGAAGACCTCCTTCCAAAATGCCGCGAAAATCCGAAGATTCAAAGCTGTTTTGAACCTGCCGGTGCTGAGGGACTCGCTGTTTCGATGATTTCGATGAGATCGGGGAAGGATCTTTATGCTTACAGCGTTGCTGAGACAAACCTTCGATGCCGGCTACTGAAAGACTGGGACTGCAGCACACTGCACTTGGCATATCTTGGCATATCTTTGCATGTAAAGTCATAGTGCAGTTGAGCTACTCACCACCGACTTCACACATCTGACTGCTGCGGATCTTTTTTGTCTTCAGCCCATCTGCCAAGATCATTTCCTGCGGGCAGCATGCAATAGCTAGAAACTACCCACATTTCATCCCCCACCAAAGAGATTGCGTTGCCGTCCTGGTTGCTGAAGACATCATAACCAGGACAAGCAAAGACACCCTTCCTCTGGTTGAACTGAAGTTGCAACAACGAAGCCTCATAGGTGTAGGGTCTCATCCTCAGAGCGTCCAAAGGGCTAACATCTGATACCATGGACTCTATGGATCTAGAACTTTGTTTTTTTTTGTCCCTAAACCATAGTAGACCATATTAAACCAGATTCAGCCATCTATTTTTTAGTGGGTTATTACGTATTCCAGTACAATTTCTTTGTGCCATTAGAAGTTTCTCTGAGTGGCAGGATCACGCAGTAGGCCGACCCAACTTCAGCTGGTTGTGGACTTCCTGGCTCTGGCATCTTGAAGAGTTCCACCTGGCGATTTTCACAGCTCGGAGACCAAGCTGGGAAGCTTGCTGAAATGTGAATGGCTATAGCAACTTTGGACACTTGGAACTTCTGAAATCCCAGGTGAAACCAAATTTTGGACAACTTTGGTCACTTGATTGTCACTTGATTCGACTTAGATGGCTGCAATTTAGGGATGATCCGGATGATCGCCTCATTCTGTGGCCACAAGGCATGTTCCACTGGGGCCCGACAGCCACATGGCAGGCCTGACAGGCCATCGTTGACCAGGCATTTTTTTGGGAGTCATGTTTCTAGAGATGAAATCCATCAAGGTTTATCGTCCTAATAAAGAAAGGGGTATAAGTGTGTAGAATATATCAATATTATCAAGTAATGTCCGAATGTCCTATAATACACTGATCCCACAGCATATCAGGGATTTCGGGCGTTCACTGCGGTGCTGCTTCACCAAAGTATTGGTGAAGTCAAAAACCATAGACCAAGAAGTATTGGAACTTTAAAAGATCTTGAATCCATTGACCCAAATTCATCTCGAACATTTTGGACTTCAACCATCACTTCTGGCCACGTTTGGGCGTTTTTTTGGTCACTTTTTGGCCTGAAAACTCAGCACCCAGCCTGACACCACACCAGGTTTCTCCAGCACTCTGGGAGCATTGCCCTCTGCGATGGTCTTCATGAAACACACATCCGTGAGCCCAGGGGTATTCCTCGGTGCAACTCCAATCCAACCCGATCAACCCGTCACTCTGCCTGAGATCTGAAATCATCCAATATACTATCCACATATACTAGCACATATACCATTATCCAATATACTATCCAAATCTATCCAATATGATATATATGATTAGTATCCAAAAAGAATCCAAAAAGAAACTGTCCAGCTTATCAGCTTGGAAGGGATCTAAAGTTTATTTGGTCTCTGGTCCTCAGCTTACAGCAAAGGTGCCGATCCGCGCCCCAGGTAAAAGCATTGCACCTGTGCCATCCAGTTGGTTTCAGCTGGCAATTGGTCAATTTCCTCCGAGTTTTGCGGCCAAGAAGTTCCCAACAAGTTCCCAACAAGTTCAGGCTGTTTTTCACCCTGTAAAATATTGTACCTGGCTGTACCTTTCTTTAAGACTCACAAAAATGGATCCCAACTGGAGCTGCACTGCGCCTTGGATTTTTGGTGCAGAGTTGCTGGCACTCCCCCACACTGCCCACACCTGGACACTGGAGGGATAACGCAGATGACGCATTGGAACTGTGGAACTGTGGCATTTCCATTTGCAAAGCCGTCAAAGCCCAAGGAAACAATCCAAACATGCTTTGAGCCTCAGTGTCTCCAACAGTTGAAGCATCCAAGTATTGAGAAAGCCATCGCAGCGCAGAATTTGAAGATTTAACCCTTGCAACTTTAGGACTACTCATGGATAAATGATCCTTTCGCTCTAGATACTTGTGATTGACATATTCAATTCACTTCAACTTCTCAACTTTCACATGGCCCAAACATTATCACCATGTTTTTAAACAAATAGTTAATAGTTTTTCCTTCAAAAGTGCAGATCTCAAGATTTCTTTAAAGATCTTGAAGGATCCAGTAGCTATCAGTAGCCATGCCTGGTTGAGGTGGCAGGGAGTCGTCTGTGTGAAGGTCTGCATCACGCACCAGTTCAGGACACTTGGTGTCCTGTGGCGCTGCAATGGCTGGAATTCGATGAATGTCTTTTTTTTTAATGTGAATCATATATATGTATATATATATACATCATATGTAATATGTATATATATGATTCAATGTGCATTATTTCCAGAAGGAGCATGCTATGATGCATTATATATATATGAGATGTTGCAATATATATATATACACTTATAACCGGAAACTGTACAAAAATTCATATGTCAATTTTTGGAGATCTTCAGTCCTCACCAGCACGGCAGCAGGCCATTGAGGCCACAACCCCCGGGTTATCTTTGAACCGCGCCGGGCCATTGGTGCTCTTCAGGAAGCACACATTCGTCAATCCTGACAGAGTCATCTTTCCAGAAACACGAATGGAATTCGGAAAGGAAACTGGGAAGTGGATGAACACTTGGATGAAAGAATTTGGTGGCATGTATATATATATATATAATTATATATATATGTATATGTATATTGATATAATCATATATGGATGATAATATCATGACGCCCTTGTGGCACTTCTACTTCCAACTTCCCAGGCGTCCTGGTCTGTGGCGCACTCCTCCCCAGGCACTCGCATCGCAGCCGGCTCTCTCCGTGCAGAGACGTTGACAAACCGCTGCAGAGAGCACCTCAAATTGTCAGCCGGGCAAGTTGATCATTCGGATGTGGATTCAAATGGATTCAATGGATGTGATAGTATTAGTATTATATAGTATATATACATGTATTTGTATTATATATATATATATAGTATATAGTATATAGTATTAGTATTAAATAGTATATAGTATAGTATATATATATATATCTATCTACATGTATTAGTATTATATACCGGCAGCTTCCTTTGACCTCCTGTTTCAGGTCATTTTGCCTTGTGACACTGATTTCATTGATCTCAAAGGCCCACAACATTGATCTGGCAAGTCGGCCTCAAAAATAAGAGATGCTGGGGTGATGCTTGACTCGTGCACCCATGCTCATGTCCAGCAAGGGCCAAAAGCGGAATCAATGATTCACAGGAGCTGGCTGTGTGTGGTTTGGATGCTAAGTTTGTTGCACAGTACCTGACTGCCAGATTCCAGGAAATTTGATGGTAAAAGGCGCAAATCAGGATTTCTGCCTTGTTGGGTTTCGATCACTGCACATGTTTTTCCTATGTTTTTCCTATGTTGTAACAAACTGTGGATTGCACCAACAGCTTTTTTGGGTGAAAGACTGAATGCTGGCTGGTCTCAGCGGGCGCATTTGATATTGACTTGCACATGTTGCACATAGAAGAATACAGTTTGCTCAGTTGAAGCATGAACAAACAACCCATTGCACTAATGAAGGGTGGTTGATGGTAATAGTTCGCTAGAGGTATTTGCATATGCTGTGTGTAAAAAAAACATTGCAGAAACAAGTGGCACATTGCAGAACGATCCCAATTTTCCAAACATTTCAGAAAGGCCATTCGGCCTTAAATGACTGTCTTGTGGAGGGTCATACATTAATTATGATTATGGTGGTGATGATGATGATGATGATGATGACGATGACGAAGCATGCTGACATCAATGATAAAGATCAAGTCATTGGCTCCCAAAAAATCCAACGTTCACCACCAAGAATGGATTGACACCTGATCTATACCTATGTCAACTCAGTGACATGCTTTATCCTTTCACTTCAAGCTGCCAGAGACGTTCCGTGAACCTCTGGCACGCACTTGTTTTTAACAACCAAAACGAACAGCACAGGTAGAGCGGGTTTTCAGATGCAATATTAATGTCATTTGATATCCCTAACTTATCCCTAATTTCAGATTATATAAATTATAATCATCCGCCGCGTATCCATCATATATCCACCATATTAGATAACTCACGAGGAAATTCTCCCGCATTTTAAGGGTGTCAATCGGTCAATCTGAGAGCCAAGGAGCATGTGGAATGCTGTCTAAAGCCTGACCTCAAGGCTGTTCTGCGCTCTGCGCGACGGATTCGCCTAATGCTTAAAAAGTATAAATCTTAATGAATCCTAATGCAATTTAATGAGATTAGAATGAGATTAGAATGAGATTAGAATGTGATTTGTTTCATGAATTTTCATGAGCCAAAAATGGATAAGTCATCGATCAGTCGTTGTGCCAGCATTTTGTCCACTTCTCAACTGGAGAAAGCCTTCTTGGACTGATCAACTGATTTTAAATGATTTTAAGCCACTGGAAAATATGTGAGTCATTTGTCTCTGATCAAACCAGACCGGAACGCTGAAAACAATCTCCTGCAGTCAAAGGGCCATTGGCCACATCCTTGTCCATCATTTGCGCAGGGCATCCAGAGACTTGTTGCCATTGTAGCATCTCTAACCTGAATGGCGTAGAACTGGGGTGTCCAAGTGACTCGGACTTGGGAAGACTTGGAAAAATGGTCCCCACCTGTCAGAAATATGAAGAACCAGCAACAGCATCCAGAAACTTTCAAGAACAGCAACCACCACCAACCGTCACCGTCCCCGAACGGTCCCCGAACGGTCCCCTAACGGTCCCCTAACGGTCACCAGTGGCTGTCGTCCATCGAGTTGCCATGCGTCTCGGTGTGCTGAGAAGATCTCATGCCGCGAGGCGTCGTCGCTCATGGAGTTCTTCACTCTCTCCGTGAATTCCTGGTCGTCATGGTGGATGCAAAATCAGCGAGCACAATGGGTACCATCAAAAAATGTGACAACTCTAGTGGGAGTTTATAAAATCTGCCTAGCAGGCTTTTCGATATTACTGTATCCACGTGAGACTGCGAGTGAGAACAAAGGGCACAAGACTTTTCTCAGAACTCTATGCTTGAATGAGACTCAAAGGTGATTGTGTGCTATAAGGATGTTCAAAAGCAGAAAACCATGCTACCGGGCACCATTTGCATCACCATGTGCATGATCTTAGTACCCTCCCCTGGGACTCTTCATGCGCCCATGCCAGTACCGCTGTATCCTGCCTCGTAGGTCTCCTTCTGAGCTGCTGCGCCGACTGTCCCTTTCTCTTCCTTCGCTTCCTTCGGCGCCTTGTGACTTTCGTGACTTTCGTGCGCACGTTGGGCGGCAGCATGGCCAGCATGGCCAGCATGGCCAGCATGGCCAGCATGGGCGCCATGGGTGCCAGCATAGTGACCATGGGACCTTGGCCTGGCTTCGGTGTGTTTCACTGGAGTGGTCTCCTGGCGCCAAGTCTTCAGAGCACTGGACTTGAACTGCTTGAACTGTTTGAACTTCGCCAAAAATATCAATTGACATTCTGGAACCTGTGCATAAGCTTCCTGTAGACAATTGTTTGTGCTTTTTTACAGTGGTTGAAAACTGAACCTGTTCAAGCAAGTCAAACAACTCTGAAAAGGGACTGATTCTGGGTTTGTCGAATTCTTGTTCCATTCAACTCATACTATGAAGCATTAAGCTTATAAGTTGAATAGAGTTGAATAGAGTTGAATAGAGTTGGACCATTGATTCATGTCACAAGTTGAATCGATCCCCTTTAAAATGTCGTAGAATGTCGTAGGTCTGCGCCTCGTAGACGATGGTGGTTTTTGGAGGCGGAGTGGGCGGAGCGCTGGTGGTTTCTGGAGCGGTGGAAATGACCTGATCAGCAGAGACTTTTCAGTTTTGCTGATATCATATCTGGTTCTATAATGGTTTCAAAATCTGATTCATGATCTATCATGATCTATCATGATTTAAACATATGTTGAGTCTAAGTGGTGATCCCGAATCGCATCACTGTCATTTGATCTTGGATCAGAGAACAGGTTTTTGAAAAGAAACGAATAGAAATCAGAGAGTCAGACTCTTGGCAAATCATGAATCATGATGAATCATGAGTCGTGGCTTTTAAAATTTGCTAAGGCCCTGCCTCCGTGGGGCTGTTTTTGCCCCAAGGGCCAAACTGGGACCGCTGTCGCCCTGGACCCCAGTGACCGCTGCTGTCCTGCCATCTGAGGAAAGCACCAAGGCTAATCCCGCCACAGAAACACTGACAAAAACCATGGTTTAGTATTGTATCTGTTGATTTTGGGGTCCCAATTTGGGAGATTCTTAAATATGAGGGGGATGAAATGATCATAGATCTTAGATTGATTGATCATGTTTCAAAGATCCGTCCTGGTAGTCGGAAGAGCCACCATCGTCACCATCGCGGCCATCGCCCTCTTCGCCATGGTAACTGCTGTGGTAATGGTGGTGGTGATAATGGTAGTGATGATAATGGGAAGCATCTCCATCTCCATAGTCACTTCCTTCAGCGTAGCCATCATCCTGCAGATCCGAACATTGGGTGTGGCAACCATGGCTTTTTATTTCTCCTATGAGTACTTAAAAGAAGGTAAATATAATTTAATATAGGTAAATTCAAATTTTGGTTGTTTTAATCTGCTTGGAGCATCGTGTTCCCTCGTCCATCGTGGTATTGTGGTCCATTTCGTCCTGGCCATAACTTTGGTCTCCATCTGCGTAGTCTCCGTAGGCATCATAGCCATCACCATCACCCCATCCTGGAGAAGATTTTAAGCAGTGTAATACCAGATAAATCCCAAATGACCCTCAAGAGATAAAGATTGCGCATCCGGATTTTGGATTCCGGATAACGACATCTAGCTATTAGATCCACTAGACTCACTAGACATCGAAATGTGGCTGAAAGCAGAGGAATCACCATCGATTTCTGCGCCTCCGCTGTCCCTGCCACCATCGAAGCAGTAGTACTGGTAATCG